GTGGGAGGCAGGGAGCTAGCACATAGGTTTGTGAGGGTTTAGATCTGGAAGGGTTAGGGATATGAGGCCCACCCCCAACCCCACATACACCTCCAGCTTCTTGGGTTCTCCAGCTTGCTCAGACTGGGATATTCCTGAATGGCAACTTTACTGTCTGTGTAAATATGAGGCCTGGGGTATTCAGTGTATTTCCTGGTCTGGGCAAAGATGCTGTTTCTCCAGGCAGCACTACCCTCCCCCGGCCTACCACTTCTCTGAGATAGGGAGACAGGCTGGGCTCAGTGACAAGTGGGGACAGCTGTTGCTACCTTCCCCCAAGTTTCTGAGCCCTAGACAGTGATGGATAGGCTAGCCACCCCCCTCCCCTTGCCTATTCCCCAGGTAACCAGAGTGAGGGAGCAACAGGTGGCCTGGCTGACAGTGTTGTAAGCTTTCCTCCACCTGGAGTACCTCCTGCTGGGCCAAAGAGCAGACAGGACACCTTGTGGAGAAAGCTGAGCCCAGCTCAGTGAAACATAAGAGGCCTGGTATGCCCAAAGATGAGGCCTCGGTGAAGCCCAGGGCCCCAGTTGCAGGCCAGAGTCTCTTCCACCTGCTAGTACTGGCTCTCCTATGTCCTCTCTAGGCTCTCTTGGGGGCAAGGCCAGGCCATTTGCCTGAATGGGTCCTGAAAGCTTGAAACAGGTGTCTAGGAGTCCAGAGTGGGAGCAAAGGGCCATGTAAAGGGGATACAGATATGGGGGGAAGGGAATGCCAGGCCCATCTCAGAATGACAGAGGCTCCTCTCATTCCTGGTGTCATCCTGCCATCAGTCTGGCCCAGGGCCAGGCTGGCACCTGGCAGAGCATAGAGATCTCAGTAAAAATACCCATAAACCAGGCATACAGCTGGGGGAGGGACATGGGCTGGTGACAGACAGTGGCTGAACCTTTGACCCTTGGGACCCCCCTACTGTCCCCAGCCACTCTAGTGGAACCAGACTTCCAAAACAGGTGACTTGGGGCTCTATGTGACCTAGCTCTTGGAGGAGGTAGAGGTAGGGGAAGGAGAAAGAGTGGGTGGGCTTGGCCCCACCCTGCACTTGTCCTGAGACTGACCTAGAGATAGAGGGACTTGGGAAGGGCTTCCACTGGAAGAAGAAAGGCAGCCCAACCTGGAGCCCATAAGGCCTCAGCTAGGAGGCAAATAGAGGCAGTCCGAAATAGAGGGAATGGGGATAAGCTGGCTGAGAAACATAGGTCTTTGAAAAGTAAGGATGGCAGAGCAGGGGACGGGATGCAGTCACATCGAATGAGAGCCTCAGCCTTCTTTTGTCTAACACAGAGCAACATATAATGCCACAGATGATTCAAAGATTAAACAAAGATGATGAAGCACCAGGTGAAAGTAGTCAGCCATTATATTTGGCTTGGAGGACAGCGGATCCAACAAAGGTAGCTCTTCTTTCCCCGGAAGGTGTGGATGTGTGCATCTGTAGGAGGGTGCAGGCCAAAGCAGTAGGTTTTGGGGGACAGACATGAGGCACAGAGCAATCATAGATGACTGTCAAGAGAACAGAGGGTGGTCAGCCTCACTGGGTTCACCAGTTGGCACAGCACCTTAGGTTTAGGATGCTTATTCCCTGACCCCCTCAATTGCCTTTTCAGGTGTTGGCTCTGACTGGGCCTGGTGGCTCAGCAAAGCACCACTCTTTGGGCCACATTCCTTTTCAGAACCCTGGGAAATCAGCAGAGTCATGATTAAAAGGTCAAGTTCTTTGGCCAGATGACCTCAGTTGGGATCCTGACTTTGCCACTTCCTGGCTGTGTGGTCTAAGGTGCATAGCCTCACTGCTCTGTGTCTTGGAGTACAAGGCAGGTGAAGAGAGGTTGAGGACAATGGCTACAGAAATAAGAAGGAGGTAAGTATGTATTTATGCATCTTCATAGGTACCATGAACATGACAAAATGTGGGAATTAGACTCTAAGCTTCACAAGGGCAGAACCCAGCTTGATAGCTAGTACTCAATAAAGAAGACCTTGTAAGTGAATGTGGACATGTGTGTGAGGCTATGAGGGGAACTGGAAAACACATTTGCGGCACACAAAGCATGTATGAACTGGTGCAAGCATGTGTTCTGGGGATGAGTGTCTCCATGGTAGGCTCTGTGAAAGAATAAGAGTTTCCATTTAGTAAGCCCCATGGTGGGCCAGGTTTGACGCTAAGCCTTTTATGCACATTATCTCATTTACCCATCACATGGGGCTGGGAAGGAGCGATGATTTCCAAGCCATAGAACAGTAACACACCCACAGAGATGAGGTGACTTACCCAAGGGGACAGGGCTGAAGATTAGCCTTCCTTCCTCCCCTATGGGTGTGGGCAGCTGGGCCCATAAGGCACAACTTTGTGATGGTATTGGGGTGCATGCTGCCCCATGCCTGAGGCTTCCTGCACCTACTACATGTTCTTTTACGTCTCTGGAGCAAAGGGCCTTGGCACTCCTCATGGACAAGATCACCAGCACTGGCCCAGCTTGATTGAGAGCACAGAGACAGTGCTTAAGAGGACTTGAATCCTGAGGTGTGTGTGTGTGTGTGTGTGTGTGTGTGTGTGTGTGTGTTGACACAGTGACCTGGGAGTCTTGAGCTGTGAGTAACAGCCAGTGAACTAGTGAGGATTTGGGTAAGAAGAGAGCACCATTCCCCACGGATTCTGACCTCCTCTCAGGATCCCCTGGGGAATAATTTTTCCCTACCTTAGGGGTATGAATCACTACATCTAAGGCCTTGCCAGGGTCCGGTGGGAGGTGGGAATGTGTATTCACTGGCTCTCGCCATGGCAGGGAGTGAGTCTAGCCATGCTCCTGAGGCCCCCGGCAGCTAGCATGGCCAGGTCAGGCCATGGAGAGGAAGAACCTGAGGCCATTTTGGGGTTGACAGTAATGGTCCTGTTTGAGAACTTTGGCTCTGGGTGAAAACAGAAGACCTTTCCCAAACCTTCAGAGATCTGTGAGTGGAGTAGAGGCCTAGCATTCTGAAGGTTGCTTCGTTCCAGGCACCAACCAGCCTTTAACCCCCAATAAACCAAGTGGGCACATAAGCATGGAGGGCTAGAAATCAGTCCATGAATATTGTACAAGGAAATAGCCACACAGACTTTGGGAGCAGAGACACCAGGAATCAATCCTGCTTTTCACACTTGATCAGTTCCATGATTTTTGATTAGTCACTACCTGCCAGCCTTTGTTAGCCTCTTAAGTAAAATAGGGACAGAACTCATTTCAAAGGGCAGTGGAAGGAAAAAAAATATCTAACATGGTTCTTTGTAAGCAGCTGACTGCTTTCTACATTTAGGTCTTGATGGCCTCTTGGTGGCCATGTCGCTCAGATTGACTCGTGGTGTGTCTTTCTACCTTACTCTGTCTCTGCTTACTTTGTTTATGGCCTGTGCAGAGTCCCATTGGGAACAGAGACACCCTAGGCTGTCTACCTAGAGCTATTCCATGTTTCAAGATCTCCATCTCTGATGGTAGGAGGAACTCCTCTTGGTCCTTGCTATTTTCCCCTCACATGGATGCCCCTCCACACCTACAGATGTCATTAGATGATGCAGTGTGGAACTCAGCGGCTCAGTCTCCTATTAAGTGAGATAATGGATGTGAAACTGAATATAAATGGTAGAGTACTCAGGGAATGGTGCTTAATTCCAATTATTTCCATAGAGAAACAGCAAAGAGGACTGGGAATTTAGCTCCAGATAGAGCCCTTGCCTAGTAAGTGTGGGGTCATACGTTAGATTCCCAGTGCCGAAAAAAAAGAAAGAAAAAGAGTAAGAGAAGGAGGGTGAGCAGCAATAGGGAGCCTTTCTATCCTTGGCGGTCCCAAACCCAGATATTTCTCCTAGTTCTTTCGCACCTTCCTCACTTCGAGCGGCGGCTCTTAGTTAATGCCACGCCTGTTCGTTTCTGTGCTCAATCTCTAGTGCCAGGCTTGCACGTGCCAGGCTCTGGGCAGGAGCCCCGGGTTTTCCCGTGAGCCCGCAAGTCCACAGAAGGCCACCAGAGGGAGACATTAGTACGTGCCTACGTCCGCTGGGGACTGAAGAAGGCGGGCAGGTCAGACCCAGAGGGTCTGAGCTATGGGACTGAGCCAAATTATAGGCAAAGAGACAAGGAGGGGCGGAGAGAAAGGACTGGGGCTGGTAGACAAAGACCCAGATGGTGAGGCCGAGGCCGGGAAAAGGCTGGAGTCCGGAATCTCAGGGACCAGATGCCTGCTTTTGCTTTTTCAAAAGGCTCCAGTTCCCTGCCTTTTCCTCTTTGCCCTGCAGCTTTCTGTACAGTGGAGCCTTCTTATCCCTAGCCACCTACCCCAGGCCTGTGCCCAGGCCTGTGCCTTCAGACAGAACACGATCCTAAATTTGTGTGGCCCGGGGGTGTCCCACAGGGCTTGCTCTCGACGCTGACATTTTGAAGGCTTGGTCTCTAGGTTCAAAAAACTTACTTTTCCCAATGGACACAGTACTTTTTCTGAGTCTCCACCATCTACGGCTACCACTTTTACGTTCAATGCGAGCACCCAACGCATTGCAAGGGCAGAAGGAAGGCCCATCAGAGTCCTACGTGATACTGGACAGGAGCAGGCAGGCTGACTTAGCCACGGAAACGGGAGTACTCCTGGGCTCGCGCGTATGTGTGCAAAAAAGAATGTAAGAACTGTACTTTATGGAGATTCTTGGGCCTGGGCTTGTCTGGTCCAGGTAAGAGGACTGGGATGTTGAGCAAGCGTGCGTACAGGCCAGCACCAACTTCCCACGAACAGAACACTCTGGGAAGAAGACTAAGCAGGACGAACCCTAACCGCAGGAGCCACACTCTCAGCTTGGTGCCGTCGCGAGCAAGCGCAGCGTCCTTAAGAGCTCCTCGAAGCCCCGCCCCTTCCTGCTCGGTGGGTGTGGCCTGGGGCAAGGACCCCCCGTTACAGAGCTTGCTATTGGCTCGGAGAATCAGGGTTGGCCTTGCGTTCGCCTGAGCAAGAGAGTAGAAAGCTCAGCTGCGGTGGAGGGAGTCTATGCGTGCTGGACAGCAGTGGGAGGTGTATGAGACGCTGGCTGCTGACACTAGGGCTCAATCGCCGCGAAGCCAGGACTTGGCGACCGGGCTGCCGGGCTATCTGGCCGAGTCTTCTGAGGCGCAAACTAATGGGACTGGTTTGCTGGGCAGCGTCGCAGAGATCTTTTAAGTACACTGAGCCGGGCCCGCGCTGAAGTAGAAGCTGTCGTGGGGCGCGCAGCCTAGAGTCCCAGTGTGGCCCGGAGGAACGGAGTCTGTGCCAGGGGGACCCAGTTGGGAGCCTGGGGACCGAACTCGCGTTGTGGGGAGACCCCTCCGCTTCTTCCCAGGGTCGTCAGTCTCAGGACGGTCGAGGCGTCGGGGCCACCACCAAGTGCTCCGCTGGGAGACCCCGTCGGGGAGAGGACACGCAGTCTCCAACAGTGTGGGGGAAGCCGAGCGGAATCCGGCGGGATCACCCGGGGGCGCCGAGCCCCCGTCTCGCCCCTTGAGGCGGAGAGGCCAGGGGAGCGACTCGGAGGCCGCAGCCCATGCCCAGGTTGGGGGCGCTTGCCCAGTGAGTCCTCCTGGCCAGGCCGGCGGAGGAGAGCGACTCCGAGGCCGGCGGGAGGGGAGAGCTTCAAGGCCCGCGGCTGCGGAGGATGGGCGCCTGAGTGACTCCCGAGCGCAGCGCGGCACGGGCAGGCTAGGCGAGCTTTGCTGAGGAGGCGCCCGGGGACCCTGAAGTGCGTCCTGCCCCCGGGAAGATGGCCCTGCCTGGGCAGCGTTGGCTCAGCAAGTGGCTTGTGGCGATGGTCGTGTTGACGCTGTGCCGGCTTGCAACGCCGCTGGCCAAGAACCTGGAGCCAGTGTCCTGGAGCTCTCTCAACCCCAAGTGAGTAACTTATCTGCTCTGGTCCCTGGGGGTGGGAGACACTCCTTTGGGGTGAGGTCGTGCGCTCCCAAGTGCGTGTGGGGAGGTGGCCGGGAGGACGTACCCTGCCTTATTTTGTATCTGGCTGTTTCTAGTGTTTTCTTTCTGGCAGGCGGGGCAGGGTGCGGCGGGGTGGGGTGGGGGCACTTGGTTGGGTTGTGACCCATCGGCTCCTTGGCCCTGGCCTCCGCACGTCCGAGATCAAGCCGAGGTGGTCACACCAGGCAGAGACGGGGTGTCCGGGCTCTCGAGAGCTGGGTGGGGGCGAGGGGGCAGCCCACTCCGGGGCCCCTGGGAACGTGGTGGTTTTCGCTTAGAGCCGCTCCCGGGGTTCGCTTGACCCGAGCCGGGCACGAGGCCGGAACACCCTTTCCTCATTTGCTTAGGTGTCAGGAAACGCGGTTCGGGACCCAGCGCCGGGGCGGGTGGCAGCGTCTGTATATATATCCCTTCTCCAGCTTCTCCCATTTTCATTTGTCTTTCTTCCCTGTCTGTTTGCCTCCCTGGCTTTTCTCTTTGCCGTCTCTTCTTGTCCCCCTCCCCTCCCATTTCTCCCTGCCGGGGTGGTAGAAAGGCGGGCGCTGCTCCCAGGCTCACAAAGGCGGCGAGTGGAGAGGGGCGGAGTGGGAGAGGGGTTGTTTGGGGGGGGGGTCGATCCAGCGCCCGTCGGGGGGCCAGTGGAGCCGGCAGCCGAGCAGCTTCGAGAGGGCCAGCCAGGGCTAAGAGTGGCGGCCAAGCCAGTGAGGGAGGTGGGTGGGGAACGTGAGATTCCTGCCCAGGCAGGTCTCGTATGAACCCCCCCCCACACACACACATAAGTCCCCTGGACTGCGAGCGGTGCTTAGATTTCTCCAGTGGTTTGGGGGGCAGCGATATAAAGGATGTCTTTTCTTTCTTCTCTTTCTCCTTTCTAACTCTCCCCCCACCTCTAAACAACGCACACCTTTCAGGGCGGTGGCTCAGTGGTTTCTGGGCTGTTGTGACCTCTGGACCTTTTTCTCTTTTGGCAGCTAGTACTCAGGATGGAACTCAGGGTCATAATCCCTCTTCCCTTGTTTACTGGCAGCCCCGGCAGTGTGTGGACAGCCCAGTTAGTGGAAACTGGGGGGCCTTGACCTGTTCCTTGCATGTTCTCAGATTCCTGTTTCTGAAATTTCTTCCTGTCCACTCTTGTGGGCTCTTCACTAACTTCCCAGGCTCCTGCCTGCCTTGGCCTCCTGGGTCCCAGGGGTGGTACAATTCTCAGGCCTGGACTGAGAGAAAGGCGCCTCTTGTTTTCTTCTTGGGTTAAGGTAGGGTCCTGTTACTGGTTGGTGGCTAAAGGAGGGTCAGGCTGGAGGATTCTGCCTCTGTACAAGAGAAGGGACTGACAAGAATTTCTCCCCTACCTAGAAGCCAGATTGGTACCAGAGCTTTAACTGCTGGGGCTCCAATTGGTCTGAGGCCCCTCTAGGTTAGTAAGCCCATGAAAAAGATTGTGAAGTACCCAGTTCTTCCCTGTAAGGAGACTGGAAATATTCTTTAGCTAGGAACACTGCACTCTGCCTGGGGTAACCCTTCCTGTGGGCTCATGGGAGTGACCTAATTGCTCTCTTGGGTCCAGATACTATGGAAGTACACAGCTGGAAAAGAGCCCTCCTACAGAGTTGAGGGTGCTGGGAGAAACAAGATCTGTGGAAGCTTATTCCTTTATGTTTGGCGAGTCTGTAGAGCTCTAGAGCAGTTTACAATCTTGGGAAGGTTGTGTCCACTCTGCCGCCCCCCCCATTCTGTTCTCAAGCTGAGGGCAAGCATCCTGGGGTGGGGATGGGGGTGACTTTGGATTCATTAGAACCTGCCCAGATTCTCTCCTGTAATCGAGCAGATTCTGGGAACGGTTGGGACTCATCCTGGTGCCCACCCCCATTTCATCTATGCCCAGGGGTCTAGAATGCAGCCTATGTCTGTGTCTCTTGCTGAGAGTGTGGGGCAGGAGGACAGGAGGAGAAGAGGACAGGAGGACAGGAGGGAGGCACTGCTCTCCTCTGGGGGCTGCCTGTGCCACCGCACCCAACCCTCAGGCTGCCATGGCTTTTCCAATAAACAGTGTCTGTCTCTGTCTCTGCCTTCCTGTGCCCTGCCGGAGTTCTCCCTCTCAGGCCAGTATCGTTGCCCTCTCACACCCTGCGAGGGAGCGCAGCTCACCTCCCTCTCCAGCTAGGTTCGCCTGCTCTCCCTCTTTCTCACACTCCCTCTCACTCTTAGTCACTCTCTGCCTCTTTTTCTCAAGTCCTTTTGTTTCTTGCACATGCCCGTGCTCTCCCTCACAGGCTCATTTTCTCTCATCCCTCCCCTCTTCCTCTCCTGGCTTTTGGTCTCTCTCCTCAGCCCTGTCAGAAGCTGGCACCCCTCCCTCAAAAAATCTCCCAGTGCCTATAAACCCTGCTTAATTGCTTCCTCCTTGGGAAAAAAATCAAAATAAAGAAGTGATGGGGTCTGCTTCCAGGTTCCAGGGCACACTCAGCCCCAACCCTGACTGGGAAGGGGAGCCTGAAGGGCCAGCTCTAGACTTCCAGCCGGCTGCTCTCCTGAATTGGTGTTAGAACCTGCCAGGGTGGTAGTCCCTGGGTGATAAGAGCTTCTGTCTCCTGGGTCTCTCCTGTCAGATTTGCCCCAAGAGTACAGGGTGGGAAGATGGGTTTGGTCCCCCTGGGGCTTGGGGGAAACCAGAACGTGCATGTGCTGGCTTAGGTGGGGAACCACTGCCTAAATGGTCCCAGGGCAGCCCCCTCCCCCAGCTGCTCCCCCTGGGGAGTGTAGTGCAGCCGGCAGGCCTCACACTTGAGTCCTCAGCAAGTCCAGCTGCTGCAGTTCAGTCTTTCGGTCCCATTCTGACCCCTTCCTGCCCCCCACTCAGGTTCCCCCACCTCCAGGGAGTGGGAATGTGCTTGTGATCACATTACAAACCTTCTCTACAATGGGGTGGGGGCAGGGTCTTCCTTTTGGCATCCAGGACCCTTGACTCCAGCATGGGTGGGGCAGCTGCAGACCCCAACCCAAGCTTGCCTGCTACAAGTCAAAGTATTGGTCCCAACCCCCTCACAGCTGTTCTAGCTCACAGTCCTTGGGGAGGCCGGCTCAAGGGACTACTTTCTGGAGTGGCTAGTGACCTGACCTATGCTACTTTGTGCCTCATTGGCCACAGGTGAGGGCCGAGAACCCAGCAGTTCCTAAAGTTCCCTGTTCTCTACCCCCACCCAGGGCAGCTAGGCTAGGGCAAGAATGGCCTGTGAGGAAGCTGGGGTAGGGACTTTGTTCCATCAGGCTCTCAGTTGCCTCAACAGCTCAGGTGAATGGGTGTAGGTGGGCCTTGGATACTACTGTGCATCACTGTTTTCCAGGGTTAGGGCTACAGAGAGAGTGGGCCAGCCTGGAGGCTCCTGGTTGCCATGGGAATATCAGGTTTGGGAGAAGAGCCCACCCTTTGATTAGAAGGGGACCTGAAGTATGGACTGCTTACCAGCAGCCTTCTGAAACTCTGGAAGCCGCTCCTCTCAGGTGTGTTTATGGTGGTGGTTTGGGGTCAGGATGCTAGCAGCAAGAAGTATAAGTACTTTGGGCTTGCTACTTCTAAATGATACTGTGGTTGGCATGCTAAGTAATAGTCAGATAGCACCTTGCTACTTACAATGCATTCTCATATATGATCTCATCGGGTGCTCCCAAGAGCCCTGGGAAGTAGGCATTGGCCCCATTTTCCAGAGAAGGAGGCATATGCCCAGAAAGGGGAAATGACTTGTCTGAGGTAAGCCAGTGACTTGTTGAATTGGGCAGAGCTGTGCTATGTGCCATTCTTTCCACTTCGTCCTGCTGCGAGGGACAGGAATTCAAAGTGGGGTTTGGAAAGAGGCACCAGACCTCTGCTGCCCCTGGGTGCTTCCCTCTCACCTCCCAAGCGGGCCTGCATCTGTCTTTATGACTCAAGCCCTGCCTGTGTGGGGTAAGTAGTGTTCTAACTTCTTCATTTAACTTTCCTAGGCTTAGCTCTAAGGGCAACCTGCTCAGGTGACCTAGCCGACTCACAGATTGACACTCTACCCCTCCCAGATCTGAGTAGTTCTCTGGGCCAGGAATCTCTTTCTCTCAGGGGGACCTCAGGAAAAGCATGGGGAGGGTTAAACTCCAGTAAACTAGTTTTGGCCAGGTGGGACAGAGAAGAGGGCATAGTTCATGTAGGTGGGGAGAGTGACTTCCTCTAGGACTCTCCTGGCTTCCCTGCCTCCTGCCTCCAACAGAGCTGTGTGTGTGCCAGGGCCCAGCTGCTGTTCCTGCCCACCCACGCCTGGGCGGGCACTGCTGGGACATGCCAGGCCTGCTCCTGCTGCCTCGGGGGCTGGGTGGAGCTGGGGGAGTGAAAGAGGAGCCTTTAATTTGGGGGCTCCCCACCCTAGCTGGGATGAGAGCAGACTTGAGCTCTGGCTTGGGGTCTGTCCTCCACCAGTCTTGCCACCCTGGGCCTAGTAACGGTGGGGTCACCAAATCAAGGTTGTGGCTAGAGTCCTCTACCAAATTTAGACTTTTGTGGCCAGGAGTCAGGCTGCCTCTTAAAGCTGTGTGCTGGAGCCTGAAGAAAAGGTTGGTGGGAAGGAAGTGTGGAGCTGGTGGGACAGAGCAGCTTTCTGGGCACAGCTGTCCCAGATGCAGGCTCTCCTCCTGTCAGTGGCTTACAGAAGGGTAGAGAAGAACTCATCTAGACTAAAGGTGTAGGTGGTGTGAGGAGTGGGAGCCATTGGTTTCTGATCAGTTCAGGGTGTTGGTAGTTACTGTCCACAGATCCTCTGAGCTTTTCATAGCCCAGGATTCTTTTGAGCAGTAATGGTGGCACTTCTAAGAAGAAATATTGAGGAAGAAAACCTTGGGCTGGGGAAGAGAAGAGGGGGCAGGCCATAAGACAGGAGCTGAAATAGTTCCAACCACCTCCCTAAGTTCTTTTGCTCCCAGGGCTGGCTCCCTGAGGTCCCAGGACTATCTGAGGCTAGGGAGGGATGGGCTTGGGTTGCCATGGTGACCTGCTTTAGGCTTCCTGCTGGGCTATGTCAATCCCCTTACTTTCCAGAAAGGGGCTTTGTTTGGGGGTGGCCCCACACAGGAAAACTTGGTTTGATGGGAGGAACAATACTTTTTGAAAGGTGGTAAGCACCTAAAGAGTTTAAGTTAGAAACTTCTTTTCCTCTCCTCCCACTCATAACATGGTGAGGAAAAGGGGAAATAGGTAGGGTGCCTGGGCACTATCACTAGCACTGTGTTTGGCTTTGGACTTCACTTTCACTGGCCATACACCTAACCCTTGTGATCCTTGAACTTATTTGTACTCCTCACAGGGCCTAAGTGCTATTTTCCCTGTTGGGAGTAGATGCCAAGAAGGCACCAGTGGGGGTGATTGGGGTCAGGGGTGCAGGTCTCATCAGACTCCATCCCCTGCCACACTTTAGGGGAAGGTGAGTTTCCTTCTGCTGACTGCTATGCAGATGAGCTGATGAATATTTATAGTCTGTTCACTGAGGTTGGAGAGACTCTGAGAGGTGTTGGGGGCAATAGTCCTTTCTTCTCCCTCTACCCCCACCATGTAGACATCTGTTTCCTCAATGTGCCTGGGTTCAACGTAGAACTCCAAGTAGCTAGGAACCCTATTCAATCCTGGGGCTCTGGCGTCTGGGTGGCAAGGGAGACTGCACCAGGCAGGCACACACACACCTCTCGTGAGTGAGCATAGGGCCTAGTGCTTAGAAAGGTGAGCTGGTCTGTCCCCCTTTACATGTCCTCTATGTTGCTGTATTTTACAAAACTGCACAAGGATCAGCCACTGTTGAGGTCCTGTTAGAACCTGAGGAATTTGAGCATCTCTCAATAGGAACATTTCTCTGATCATTCATTCCCTCATATTAAGACCTGGGTTGGTAGTCTCTAAGGTTCCTTTGAGCTCTAAAATGTTAGAAATGGTCTATTCTTGCCACAGTCATGGGGGGGGGTACTGTGGAGAAGAACCAGTGTTAACAGTGAAAAGTGAAAAATGCCTTGGGAATTAGGCAATTTCACTTTGGTGAAACTTGTGAGCTTTGTATGGTGCATGGGTGGGGGCATTCTATCTTAAATGTTTGAGTCTCCATGTCATATCTGCTTCCTTTCTGTCCCATACAGGGCTATAGAGTTAGAGAGCAAGGGGGAAAAGTATCTCATTCTGGTTTTGAACCTCCTACACATTAAGATGGCAGCTCCTAGCTTGGTGGAACATCACATGACATGAAAGAAGGGCTAGTTGTTTTCGTCTTCTTCATGTACTTAGTCAGATCACCTCCTTGCCTAGTGAGGTGTCAGCTCCCTCCATTGGACTAGGTCATGGATTTGACAGTGTGAAGGCATCTGTCCAGAGCCCCTACCATATCCTCATTGCTTGTGCCCTTTGCATCATGGCTCTCAGGAAATGGCACCATTCTCTTCCTAGGTGATTGTAGTAGCCTGTGTATTGAGGTTCTGTACCAACAGAGCTAAAATGACACCCTCAACTTTATTCTCTTTATGCACTGTCACTCCATTGTCTTTCATGCCAGAGGGTCTGTCACTAAGGGGATGAAACTTACACAGCTTGTCATGGCCCTTGAGGAATTTCTTTCTAGCCCTAGCTGATCTTTTCCACCTCTTCGGGGCCTCTGTACTTGTTGTTGCTGTGTACTGACTTCTTATCCTTCACCCAGGACTTACCTTCATCCTGTCCTTTGTATGGAATCATCCCTGAGCATCACAATATTGTAGTTAGATGAGCCAATCTCCTTCCTCTCCCTGCCTTCCACCCTAGCTGTCTGAAGTGTCATCCTCACATGTAACTTACAGGTAGCCTGGAGCTGTCTATGGATAGAGTGTGGGACATTTACTTTTGGGGGCCAAACAATACAATAAAGTCCATGGCAGCCAGGCTCTGTCTTCTCTTTGTATTTCTTCCATAAGAAACAAGAGTACTTAGTGTTGGTATCTACTCTCCTGCTTCTTGGCAGACTACTTATAAGAAAGGTTCAAACATATTCACCACCTACACTGTTCCAGGTGCTCATCTCACCGTTCCTACCCTAAAAGGTAAAGGCTCTAGTTTAATAAGTGAAGAAACTGAAGTTCAGAGAAACTGCGCAGCTCACCCAAGGCCATACAGTTAGTAAGGGCCTAGCTTTGGAATCTGATTACAAAGTGTACTCTTTCTCTTTCTCTCAGCTTTAGCTTGCCTAAGCTCAGAAGTGGCCAACAGAACTTCAGTTTCTTTACTATTCTTAGGCAAGAACAGAGACAAATAAACAGGTGGCCAGGGACCTATATCTGGCTATCCAGATTAGACAGTGAAGCCCACCTTAAGACATTTAGTCATCTCCTCTTGGGGTCTGTGGTAGTTGCAGTATAGAGGTGAGAGATCAGAATACAGATGTGAGGGGTTCCTAAGACCCTGTCTTTTACTATCTGTTATCCCTGATAGGACTGCCCTTTATCCCCTCCCCTTCTTAGGAGTGAGTGGACAGGTTTGAGGTTTTAGGCTCTTGGGATGAATCACCAGAAGGATACTATAGAGCTGTTCCTATCCAGAGACTGTTGCCATCAGATCCTGGCTCCACTGCCTGTTTCTACCTCCCATCAGGCCCAAGATTAGCAAAATGTGGAGAAAGGCCTAGGTTCCGGACAACTTGAGCTCCCCCAGTGTTTGGCTGGGAGCTGTGGGGGTGGTGGCTAAGGCATGGGTGGGCTTGCAGTATGCGTGTGTGTGTGTGTGTGTATAGAAGTAGCAGCAGTGACCATTGAAGGAATGTGAGCATGTTCGGAAGTATGGGGGACAGGGTACCATCTCCAGGTAGCCTGGGCCTTGACACCTTGGTACCTAGTTCATTTGGCCATGGGGAATGTCCCATTAGGACAAAGGGCTCCCCCAGCCAGGCAGTGCCTATAGGCCACCCCTTCCATACCCTGCTGGCAATGTGGTTCTCTTTCCCTACCCCCAGCCTAAGGATGGTGGAAGGGCAGAAGGCTGATTCTCTTATCTCCACCCAGTAGGATTGGCCTGTCCTTCATTGTCTTCTCCCCTGGTTCTGGGATGGCCTGGGTCCCCCAACCTTGAGGCTGACCATCTCCTCTGTTCTGGGCAGGTTCCTGAGCGGGAAGGGCTTGGTAATCTACCCGAAGATTGGAGACAAACTGGACATCATTTGCCCCCGAGCAGAAGCAGGGCGGCCCTACGAGTACTACAAGCTGTACCTGGTGCGGCCGGAGCAGGCAGCTGCGTGCAGCACTGTGCTTGACCCCAATGTACTGGTCACTTGTAACAAACCACAGCAGGAAATCCGCTTCACCATCAAGTTTCAGGAGTTCAGCCCCAACTACATGGGCCTGGAGTTCAAAAAGTACCACGATTACTACATTACTTGTGAGTCCCCACCCAGTCATGGCTGGCTGTCTCCCTAGGCTTAGCTCTGCTTTTGCTCCAGCCTCCTTGCCCATGGGTGGCAATGGTGATTTCTTAGTGGCTCAGGATGCCACCTGCACAGTTACGGCCCTGCCTGATCTAATCCCCTTAGAAGACTAGCATGCTCTTGTCTCTGCCTGGCCTTGGAATTCTGGCCCCAACATTTACCACATGGCCTGTGGCCAGCTTGCCTCGGGTCCAGAGCATGGGTGGGAAAGGCTTCTAATCCATGTTGCTTTCTCTTTTCTTTCTTGGGAATGGCAGAATTGGCAGAACCCTTTGGGATCAGCCAGCTGTTTTGTCTTTTTCTTGGGAAGCTAAGGCACCATAAAGCAAATAGAGTTGGAGATGTAGCTCTTTGGTAGTCTTGCCTAGCACATGTTCAATCTTTAGCCACTGCCCTTCCCTTCCTCCTCCCAAAGGAAGTACGTGGCATTTTGCCTCAGATCACACAGGGAGTTTATGGGACAAGATGGAGACTTTAGCCTAGCTCTCCTCACACTCATCTAGAATTCCTTCCAGTTAAGGTAAATACCCCTCTCATGGTACCAATTCCAGTTGTTTCACCTCTGAGTGGCATCTCCCAGTGAGAAGGTCCACCTTAGTGTTTCCCCTAAGAAAAGCAAGGAGTGGTGCCCTTGGTATGGGGGGGGGACTTTTTTGGCCTGGCAAAACTAAATGACTCTCTTGCAATTGAGGGGGAAGTAGAGGGTTCAGGGTACATAGGTAGGAGCTGCTTGCTGTGCCCCACTCACTCCCAGTGGCTGTTTTTGGCTTGCTCTTGATGGTTCTGTCAGAAAAAAAGCAACACATTGAAAACTCCAACTTCTGATTTCTCTGGCTTTTTCCTGCAGCGACATCCAATGGAAGCTTGGAAGGGCTGGAGAACCGGGAGGGAGGTGTGTGCCGCACTCGTACCATGAAGATTGTCATGAAGGTTGGGCAAGGTGAGTGCCCATTTTGGCCTTTGGGACACATGTTGGTAGCTGACTGGGGTGTGTTGGGACTGGGGATGGACCAGAGGGTTAGAGTAGCAGAGGGCTAATATTTAGGCCGTTTCTGCCTCACCCAAGGTAATTGAGGGCACCAGTGCTAGCAGAGTATTCCCTCACATTTGTCTTCTCCCTATCCTCAGATCCCAATGCTGTGACACCTGAGCAGCTGACTACCAGCCGGCCCAGCAAGGAGGCAGACAACACTGTCAAGACAGCCACACAAGCCCCTGGTCAGGGTCCCCAGGGTGACTCTGATGGCAAGCATGGTGAGTGTATATAGGTGTTCTTCAGAGAGCAGAAGTCATTGATGTTACCTTCTCAAGCCTATGTCTAAAGAAATGCACCCTCGGACCTACCGGTATCGCTTGTGAATGTGGGTGACGGCAGGGACCTAGAGAGTTCCTTCAACTCCAAGGTGGCATTGTTTGCTGCCATCATGTTGACTGTCATCTTCTACTGGCTGACCATTGCTTCTCTTCCCATCCTCAGAGACTGTGAACCAGGAAGAGAAGAGTGGTCCAGGCGCAAGTGGGGGCAGCAGCGGGGACTCCGACAACTTCTTTAACTCCAAGGTGGCATTGTTCGCGGCCGTCGGTGCTGGCTGTGTTATCTTTCTGCTCATCATCATCTTCCTGACGGTCTTGCTACTCAAGCTGCGTAAACGACACCGCAAGCATACACAGCAGCGGGCAGCCGCTCTCTCGCTTAGTACCCTAGCCAGCCCTAAAGGGGGCAGTGGCACAGCGGGCACCGAGCCCAGTGATATCATCATCCCCTTACGGACTACAGAGAACAACTACTGCCCCCACTATGAGAAGGTGAGTGGGGACTACGGGCATCCTGTCTACATCGTCCAGGAAATGCCACCCCAGAGCCCGGCGAACATCTACTACAAGGTCTGAGGGCCCAGCACAGCCTCAGGCTCCAAGGGACACATGGCCTGGACCGGCCTCTCCTTTCTCCCCTATACCCCTCCCCTTGCCAGCTGTGCCCACCTTTGTATTTAGTTTTGTAGTTTCTTGGCTTTTATAATCCCCCATTTTTCCTGCCCCTTGGGCTTCGGAGGGGGGTGCCTGTGCCCCTAATCCCCATGCTCTTGTGCCTTCCCCCTCTGGCCAGGCCTCTGGGCTTTGTGGGGGCGCCCTTTCGTGGAGGGCAGGGTTGGACACTAATGGACAAGCAGGCAGGGAGACAGCCCCCTGGCCCTGCCCACTCCTCACCCCCTTTTCCCCTTCCCAGGACTGCTCGTCCACTATCACTGTTTTTAATGCCTTTGTGTTCATTTTTTAGCTGTCAACTCATTTTCATCTATTTTTTGAAGAAAAAAATGGAAAAATGTACAAGGCAGCCCCTCCCCAGGCTTTCTGAACCTGGCCTGACCCAGTATAAGAGGGCCTGGGGCAGGATATGGCCAGCCAGGAAGCATAGGATGGCATTTCTTTTATAGACTCCTTGGTATTTCAGGGGGTGGGGGAGGGCAGGCCAGGGAAGAGGAGAATGCCACCGGGCAAGGTGTCCCACCCTCCTTTCCAGACCCTCAGAATACAAAGCTGTTCCTGGCAATGGGGTACTGGGTACTGACTACCACCCTTCCACCAAAAAAGAAAAAAAAAAAGCCCTTCCTTGTGGGAGTCTTGGGCATCTCCTGCCTCCCTCACTCTCACGGTAATTAATGTCTTAATTGGCTGTTGCCTGGGGAACAGGAGAGCTGCTTCAGGCAGATGACCTCATGAGGGGTGGAGGGAGGTGAGGTGCCTAGGTGGCTATTTGCTCTGCAGAGCTGGGAGTCCCCCCCCCCGCCCTGTTCTCTCCTCACCTTTGGCACCCTTTGGTTTGGTGGGCAAACAGGGGTCCAAGGTGGAGACCTAAGCGGGTATAAGGCCAGGTGGCCTGCTCCTTTTCTGCCCATCGGCCCCCCCTAGTCTTGAGCTGGGGCCTGGAAAGGGGAAGAGGCTGCTCAGGGCTGGGACAGCCTGCAGTGCACTTTGACCCCAGCTCCTTGCCAGCATGGCTGCTAACAGACGGCCACTCCAGTGCACCTCGCAGGCACTCCCAGAGCTGCCATGGAAGGAGCTGGGCCTTATACCACCCACCTCCACACTGCCTCTTGGCCAGCTGCCCACCCCAGCGCCAGGTGGGAGAGGGAGCGGAACAGCCAGCCCCTTCCAGGTGGCAGTTGGAAGGGATCTTTGTTTTTGTTTCTGTTGCCATTTGTGTAAATACTAGTCTTTTTGGAAGAAATAATGTAAAGATGTTTTGTATAAACTCTGAATTATTTTCTTGTTGCTTTTTTCTTAGAAAAAAATGAGAACTAAAAAAAAATTAACCACATGGAGAAATGAGTGTAAAATGGTGTCATGATGTTGGAGAATGAACTGTGATGTCTGTATGTATGTGCCTGCACACATGTATGTGTGAGATTTCCTTTGTCCAACCACAGATGATCAGGGCAGGAATGGGAAAGAGGTGTGTGAAGCAAGATGCTTCAAGTGCCCATTCTCTTCCTGCTGCTCCCCACCCCCAAGTGTCTCTGCCCCTTTGTGCTGTCATGGAGCCTGAGTCCATCCTCCCACTCTGTCAGTCCTGTCACCTCTGTGGCACAGGCCATAGGCATCTGCCCAGTCTGGCACCAGTCTCAGCTGAGAAGGGTCCATGGGGAAGGGATGTTCCCATGGGGACCTGAGTGTGTCCGCAGGTACTGCCACCACCTGGCTGGGGCTAGATCTGGAACCTGCTGGCAGGCGCAGCCCTGCCCTGCCCCAGGATGCCTGGAGCTGGATAGAAACAACGTCCCAAGATGAGTCTCATCTCTGGCTCGCTGGACACTAGGAAGGCTTCAGACTTCCCAGTTCACCTCTCATCCAGAACCACCTTCCTTTTCCTGTGTTCACTGTGGGGCCAAACTAAAGGTGCTACCCTGGCATACTTGGGGGCTTCTGGCTGGCAGTGGAAGCCCTAAAGCTAGAGAAGCCCTGAGGGCCCACGTTCCCTCCCACAGGCAGATGAGTAACTTGCTCAGGTCAGAGAGTGTGGTAAGGGCCCCAAACAGGGTTTGGCTTCCATCCCATGACAGAGGTGCAGACAGTCAGGGCCCAGAGCAGCCTGTGGATCTTGTCAGGGGAATGCCTCTGGTGATGGCTAAGACAGATGTCAGGGGAGGAGGACAAGTGAGATTCCCAGCAGCTAAAAATGGGTAAGAAGGCGATAGAGGAGGAGGAAGGAAAGGGAGGGTGAGTAAGGGATCCAGAGCAGGAAGCCCAGGGGGAGCAGGCAAGGCTCTGGGGGAAGTGGGGAGCACATACAGAAGGAACGGGGAGGAGGGCTGTGAGACTGGGACTTGCCAGGGAAGGGAAAAAGAGGCTGGGCTAGAGCAGGGCTGGGCCAGCCTGGGGTGCTGCTGGAGCCAGCTGGGGCAGAGGCTGTTTATTTGGTTTCTCATTAACCTAAGGAAGTGCCTGGATCAGATGAGGCCTCTGCTATTTGACCATTTGCCCAGAGTGGGGCCCAGTGTGGGCCCTGGGTCTCTGGACCAGGGCAGGCTCTGTGCAGATTAGTGTCTCCAGCAGACTCCAGGTCAGGTGAGCCTTACCTGTACTTCCCCAACTGAGCAGTTCCCCAACCTGGCCCAGGTGTCAACTGCCCTTGCCACATACGCAGGGGAGCTAGGAGCCTGGGAGGAAGGCATAGGGATATAAAGGAAAATTGGAGGGAGATGAGCTGCCCTGTGAGGGTGGCAGGTGGGAATTATCTCGTATTTGAGATGAGGGAACTGAGACCCTGCAAGGTGCTGTAATTTGTGCAAGAACATAAACCAGGTGAACGGGGGCATGAGGATTCAAGCCCAGGTTTTTTTGTTTTTGTTTTTGTTTTTTTTTTTATTATACCATGAACAAATAGAAGTTCTGAGAGTGAAGCAAACAACTCCACTTCTCCCTACTCCTCCATTTGCCTTTGTCTTCCTTGGGGGTTTTGGTAAGCAGGAGTCTTCCCAACCCCCATTCCCTTCCCCTCCTGTCTGGGTCAGGAAGGGACCAGGCCAGCTAGAGCAGGAGGGCTGAGCCTCCTGTGGTGAAGCTACAGAGCAGCCCCACCCTCTACTCTCCTTCCTGTCCCAGCTGGGCCCAAGCTCCTGGTGAGTCAGGGATAGAGGATGCTTCCCAGGTGAGGGTGGGGTTGCCTGGCTTCCTGTGCAGGCGGAACCCAATTGACCTATGAAGCCAAACTGAGCAGGTGCTACCCAGGCCTCAGTTTCCCTAAAAGGGACAGGTTTTGTAAAACCGGGATGCCAAAGCTCCTTTGACCTTGTTCACATCCAGTCAATTTTAAGAACCTAGGGGCCATCCCCAAGGATTAAGGGATGTAGATGTCCTGAGACTCTAAACAAGGGCATGAAAATGGTCAAACGATCTAAGGAGGATCCAAACCCACCTGGGGCCATCTCAGGTTGGACACTGCTAAGCAAGTGGCCCTCTGGCCGCTTGGCATCAATCACTCTCGGAAATCCAGCTTACCCGCCTTCTTGCCTGGTCTTCTGTCCTGCCTGGGCATGTCACAAGCATGTCACAATCCTACTGACACCCCAGCTGAGTCAGCCCCAGCCTACCTGAGGACCCTCCTCATCCATCTACTGCTGGCCTCCCATGCAGCTGGTCTTCAGATCTGCGGGGTTTTGGGGGGGCAAGGCCCCAACTAGTGCTTGTTATTTTGGCTTCCCCTTTGAAAAACAACTGAGGGGGAAACCAGCCCCTGTCCAGGATAGGGGTCACAGAGCCCAAAACAAAAGCAATGGAAGGGCATGGGGGAGACAGCAATTGGCTCTGTTTCCAATGGTTGATTATTCAGCTGGCAAAGAAAAGGAAAGATGGAGGTTGGGGGATAAGGAGTTTGTGAAGAGGTAGGATGGTTAGAGGACTTTGCCGTGGATTCCTTTAGTTCGGGGGGTAAAAGAACCCCAGACTGGTGAGCCACTGGACACCTAAGAGCCTGTTCCTGCTCTGCCATGACTCCCCTTTTGATGAGGGGCAGACAGGTCCATGCCTCTTACATCTTTCATTTCCCTCTCTGGTAATGAAGAAAGTATTAGATTGTTCATTTATTTTAAAAAATATTTACTGAGCACCTGTTATATGCTAGTTAGTGGCCTGGGGACTAGAGTACAGTGATGAACCGGATAGATGAGATTCCTGTTCCCAGGCACCTCCTGTTCTAGAAAAGTTTTTCATTGCTTGATTCAGCTTGTGTGGTGGCTGGATTGTGGGAGGCAAATTAAGGATATATAGATTCATATGGGGTTCGAAAGTCATTCATTCATTCATGTATCTTTTTCAACAAATGTTGAATGCATGGCACACTGCTGCTTCTCTGGTGAGGAAGGGAGTGGACACTTTGGTTTACTTTGGCACTCTGCCTGCTTTGATAGTAGACCCCAGATCTGGCTGTTCCATCATCACTGACCAAAGTCAGCCCTTTTCAAGGTTCCTAAACATCTGCATAGAAAGTTATCCTGCAGCCCTCTTACTAGCTTGTTTCCTCCAGCACCCCACCCATCACCACCACCAGACACTCCCAGTTCTTGCCTGTCCCAGCAGCCACATGACTGGAGGGATGGAAAGGAGCTGGCTTCTGAGGAACATCTTTCCATTCTGTGACCAGATTTTTAGGGAGAGGGTCCATGTGGTAAGTCCAGGTTCCAGGAGAAACCAGGGGAAGACACATTGGTTGAATTCTACAGGTCTTCCTCTCAGAGAAGTCAGGGACCAGAAATGGTAGAACTAGGACTTCCCCGATCTTTCCAGACCAAACCTCTCATGAAGAAACTGAGGCCCAGAGATTAGAAGTGTCTTCCCCACAGGGACACAGTAATGTTGTCAGAGCCAGACCTAGACCTAGGAACCAGCTCACTTAGCCTCACAGGCCCTTCTTGTGTACTGTGGCTTTGTTCTTCCACATTCCTTGTGGAATTCCCTGTGCAGGCACGGGTGGGCGCGCAAGCGTGTGTGTGTGTGTGCGTGTGTGCGTGTGTTGTGCCGGGGGTGAACCAAACAAAGCTATTTATATTGACAAATTGGGTAAGTTTGCACAAGGTGATTACTAGAACAGCTGAGGAAATGATGGGCCCTGAGAAATTTACACCTGGTTGAAAATGTCCTAACAGTCTGCACCTCTTCCTGGGGGCCACTCTTTTGGGGCACCTCACACAGCTCCAAAGCCACTCAAGAACATAACAACTTGGCATCTGTAGGGGCCCTGACCTCCTGGTTTGTGGCCCAGACTCTGAATTGGGCAATTGCAAGGCTAAGCAGAGGCTTAAAGGTTCAGTGGCCTCTCCTTTCCCAGGATGCTGAGCACCACTGTACAACCCCCTGGCACACCTCAGGACAGGCTCCCTCCCTCCCCCTACCAGACAGCCTGGACCCTTCCGGCCAGCCTACAGTTAGCTGTCCATGCCCTGTCTTCAGCACCCCCAACCCCTTGCACACACTAATAGCCATGGCAGTAACATGTTTTCACATGCAAATTGCTATGGAATTCTCAGCCCCTGCTGGTGCCCCAGCCCCTGAGGCCTCCCCTTGGGCAGATTCAGGGAAGAGAATGGAATCTTTCAAGCTGCTAGTGCATTTTGAGACCTTGGAGTCCAGCCCCCTTGTTAGATGGATGGGAAAACTGAGGCCCAGAGAGAAGAGGCAGGAACTGCCCAAGTTACACACAGAGTTCACCCGACTGGCTCGCACCCAGATCTTCTGACTTCCAACCCACTGCCTCTTCAACACCCACTAATCTCATCTCCTTCCTGTCCCACTTGTTTACTATGGGCCCTGGGATCCCCCTCTCTGGTGCTGAAGCTTTTCCTAGGCCCTCTGTGGGGCCTGGGAGTGTGAAATCTGGAAAGAAAAGGCCAGAGGTGTCTGTGACTTAGGGCATTGCCCAGGGAAGGGAACCATTCTCCTTTGAAACAGACAGCAGGAGGATTTGCTAGCTTCTCCACCTCCTGATCTAGGCCAAACTGCTCCTCCCCATGGCCCAGCAAGCCTGCTGAGCCCTGCCAAGTCTGCCCCAGTCCAAGCCCTACCCGGTGTCCCCAGATGTGTGCATCCTCACTGTGGGGGTTGTCATCAGCAAAGCCTGGGCCCTGAGGTCCTGAGAATTCTGATCCCAATTGGGGTATAGAAAAAAAAAAACTCCCTTCAGTTTAGCTGAACAAGGTGGAGGAATTTTCTGAAATGAACTTTACAAGGAAACAAAAATAAACACTAAAGGAGGAAAAGAGACAAAGGTTA